TAATTCCTGAACTTGCACTTCTGTATTGAAGTTTTCATTTATGACATAAACTGAATAAGGCTGGTAACCTTATCGTGCATTTCAGTACTTGTCTTTTTATTATCTCTTTACTTTTTCGTGGAAATCAAATCTCTTGTCCTGTTATATCTTTCTTAGTTTAATCTTGATTATTTTAATTTTCAAGCATAAAATGTAGTCGACGAAAATTTCATCAACCATAAAGTACTTAAATAACAATAATCGTATTGCAATCAGTAATGAAAATCTATATCTTAATAACGTGTACATAGGGCATTACTTCGAGCATCGGCAGCGCTACTACCACTACTAGGAATAACTTGGGTAGTTGGCTTTCTAGCGTATAATCATCAAACTCTTATACTTGATTACTTCTTCGTTATCCTCAATTCATTTCAAGTAAGCTTATTATTCTCACTCTAAATATAAAAAATGTTTTGCTTTTCAATTGCAATTACGGTTTTCTTAACTGAAATGGCTTAACTTTAACTTTGTTCACTTTATTACAATAACAGGGTGTATTTATATTTTATTTTCACTGTTACAACTATAAAGGAGTAAGTACGATAGTAGATTTGTCATCGATTACAATCATTACGATATAATTGCATGACTTAAAGTATACGATAGTTATTTCACATAATATTTACATAAAATTTGAAAGGCTATATTATAATAAAGCTACAAGAACTATGATGGTATTTTATATTTTTCCAGGTTAAGAGATATTATGCAAGGAGGTTTATTCATAGCGCTTACAGCCCTCGTAACCAAATTTCAAAAGCCTCAAATACGGACCTTATGACACGTTCAAAGGTAATATGGAAGCTTTAAGATTTTGTATGACTAATATAGGGCAAATTTTAACTAACAGTAATGTCTTAATTTTTTCCATTTCGCTAATCATTTCTTATATTTATATTCGTTACAGCGTAGAAAGTCGGCCTGGGAAGGATAATATTATACCAGGTCCACAGTTACTAGTATTATCTTGCATGGATAAATTGAACTGATTAGTCAAACTTTCTCATAAATATCTTGAGAATTAGATTTGCTTATACCATTTTTGTCTTCGTAAGTGCAGATTTACCGAGCAATAGTTGTAGATTGGGTGGTGTGTTTAAAATTGTAAATAAAACAGTTCATAAACATCAATATTTAAATTTGTGGTACACATTATTGTATAACCTAGACACCGTCTTATAATGGCATACTTGAACATATTTTGAAAAAATTAAATTAGTAATGATGTGCCTAGCTAAAACATTCAAAAGCAATCAAAATGATACAAAGAAGTTATTGCATAAGCCCAAACCATCAAAAAGTTATTATATTACAAATGTAATTGAAGTATTTAAATACTAATTCTGAATGCGTGATCTTAGATATCATTACCTTATTATATTCTGTAACGTTGAATTTTAATTTTAATGATGCCATCATTCATGTGGAAAATCAAGTTAGATAAAATGTCAGACATACGCCTGCAAAACTAATTATTTGCATTCGAAACCTGATCCAAGAATTGCTTTATTACGGTATTCTAAACCTGAAACTTAAATGGTGCCTTGTAATACGGTATAGCTAGTCTTTGACCCATTTGGTTTAGAAAACGCTATAGCTCAACATTTAATTTGTTACATATAGACATCAATATATAAAGAGAATCTCTTTGCACGTCATTAGGAATGTAACTACACATAATTATAATCATTTATATTAGCCAATGTAATTAAAGGTTAAAGCCAGATTTTGTTACGTTAGATAATCCTGCAAATTTGCTGGTTTATCGTGTTTAAATCATGTAGATTACTAACTTTAGGTAGCTACAACTTGTTACGCACGGTACGAACCCGTGACACAACTCTAAAGTAGCTATCAAATAAATTTTATCCGGAAGCTTTCCTGATGTTGTTTTTATGCTTAAATACTGCCTAAAGTAGCTAAAAATTACAATTAAGAGTTACAGGAAATAGATCAATTGACTGTTTGATTGTAATATTGTGCTATAGAGTACCTATTTATCGAAGTTAATTACTGAACATATTGCAGCAACTCTATTTGGATTTTTATATTAAGATTCCAAGACATAAATAGATTGCAATAAGCACATAAGCACCGTGAAATCTGTATAGTGATCTTTTAATTATAAGCGCAAATGATGAATAGACCACGATAGTAAACTTTGATTTTGCACTTAATTAGCAAGATATGAAAGTGTGACTAAACGAACCATTTTATAACTGATTGTATTTAAATCATAAATTTTACTGTAATAATTTAAATAGTCTGATTGTAGCTAGATAGTCCTTGATCGCTGTTAAATCAACCTAATTTAAGTAATAAATTGAAGTTTAAAAGAAACTCAAATTTTTCTTTATTATTTTGAAGACACTTTGTCATACAGCGCCACGATGAAAAGAACTAAAATTAAGCCACAAGAGAGCTCTAAGCCAAGCAATTCACTTGCATTAGCATCTATGGCAACTAATGCACGTCATTTCTCATGAGCTAATTTTGATTTCCGATAAGAAATGGTGTCCCACTCTCCCACAACTACCCTTGCGACACAAGAAAACAACACAGTACTTATAATTAACTTTACATCTATCCACTGAACTACTTCCCTAGCGTACGGTATAGTAACTGGAATCCTTGCGAAGTACTAACTCGCTCATCACAATATAAGATATAAAACTATCACACAACCTAGCCTTAACCTGAATCACTTTTTATTGATCATAGTCCTTCTTATATACTCTTTCAGTAGTAATAAACATATTTACTATGCTACCAACATATTTCAATAACAAACATGTTATTACGATTGAATTGTCAAATACGGACATTCGAGGTAATAAACAATTTCATACTTAAATCTACTTCGACAATAAGCCCTGTCAAGCTCATATGTTCTCGATACTTATAACATATTACTATATCATCATAATATCATAATAACTTAGGGTATTACTAACAATAACAATAGATAGAGAAGACCTTCTCTAACAATTCCTTAAGTAGTAGTTCATACTTCTAAAAAGTTCAAAACAAAATGTTATCGTAGACTACATATCCATATCTAAGCTATTCTGATGGCTGTGACATAGTCATTAGGCTGTAATGTAACTAGTATTGTGATTGTAGACTGTTAGCCATGTTTAGTATAATGTACGGTAGATATTTATCCTAAGAGATATTTGGAGCTACAGTATAACTATAGACTGTAGTGGTATAGACTCTATGCTAGAGTACAGGTGACTATATACGGTAAGGTGTTGAGTTACTAATAAGGCTATAGGTAAAAATAAAAATGTAAATTATATATTAGGATATGGTTAATTCATTGTACTTTGGCTGGTGTGAATAATGTCTACGTAAATACTGCAGTCGTATCCATATCGGATTAATAGTAGTATTCGGCTAGAGTAGAGCTGTGGTAGTTAATCTTTGTATAAATTTCAATAAAGCCCTTATTTTTCGAAAATCTGGAATTTCGTGATTGGTATATATCACATAGGCTAATTGTAATATTTAGATAAGAAAAAGCGATTCCTGACGGTACTCGTTACCTTATAAGAAATTTAATGCGTAATTCAAAGCGCTAGCTAGGAAGCTAAAATTTCTATATATTATTGCCTTGCAAAGATTACAGTTTCAACTCTTTTTATCGTTATTGTGCAAATATCACATCATTAAGAGAGGCTGCCATTCAGATAATTGGATTAATATAGTATTTTCACAGAGTAACGAATTACAATAAATAACAATAAATAAATTAAATGTTACCTTGAAAAAATTCTAACTTCACTGGGTTTAAAGCGATAAATACAGAGAACATTTGTGCTCTAGCATCATTATTCATCTATTTTTGGTCTGATTATTTCTGGAGCTAATTAAATTAGTTTGAGCAAGAGTACACGGAAAGAAGATATATCTAATTTATGAAACTCATGCACTTTAATATATCAAACATTGCTGACACAAATCAATTAATTGCAGTATCTTAGGGATTTTATTTAGGCTCATAAGAGAAATGATCCTCATGTAACTTGTAGCATAATAGTTTTTAGTGAAATATGTATATGTTATTATGTTATATATACTTAGACATGATATTAAAGCTGGCTTCGTACGCCAAATCAACAATTTAAACAGAGTTTGAATTTCATTAGACCATAAAATCCTAACCCGCAGCAAGTGTTGCCCACCTTATGTCTAGCAATCACGAGAATGTAGAAGCTTATCCTCAATTAGGAATTCATTCATCTGATACCTCCATAATCATATCTACTGTTGAAGTCCACTATGTCGACAAATGAAACGACATCGTGCAGTAAATTCAACTGATGGAGATGGCAGAATCTCTATAAGCTGCTCATTAATGATATTAGTAACAGTACACAAGCCTGTCTATCGACTTCATCTCTAATATTAGATGAAAATAAATTAAAATAATAAATCTTTCGAGTGAAAAATACATATCAGTTATTTTCTGCAGCTGATATAATGTGAGTAGAATAATTATAAGGTAAAAGAAATAAATTTACAGAGATTAAGAGATCTTACTATTTTAAATAATATGCAATATTTGTAACATGTAAGTCATCTTAATTATTCTGTGAGGCACTGCAATAGAACGCAATTGTAGTAAAGTGAAAATAACATTTGAAAATTGAAAATATGACGGTAATACTTGGTTGGATTAGAGGAAACATCATTCCTTAATATAACTTCTGAATGAAAGTAGAGTATTCTTATTTCCAATATTGATAATATGTAAGACGCTATCAAAAGAACTATTTTTGATTAATTCTCTTCCCGTATTAAAGATAATTGTATCCTAATTGCAAATTTAAGTACTGTACAAGTTTTTATTATCATAATTAATTGAAGCCCACTTTTATTTAGAAGCAAGGTGGCTCCCGTTGCATCTATTACTGGATATTAATGTTAAAATTTTAATAAAGATCCTTGTTGGATCTATCAGAGTAAGATTTGACTGTATTATAAGAATAAAATTATACATCCATTTGCAACTAGTAGCTCCAGAAACAAATAAAATAGAGAATTAAAGTTAAAAGAACATATAGAGTGAGACGAGATATAATTTTCTGCGACATTCATTAAAATAAGATCAGATTTACGTACGACATGATAATACTGTATAATTTATGTTCCAAATCGACATTTCATGTATGCTAGAAAATAATTTTAATCTGAACATTGCATCAGTTAAACTGAGCTGGGCGGATTGGCTCGAATCGGCTGCTGATGTGCATAAATAAGTTCAATTGGCTAGATTGAACGCTTATGCATCCTGTTTATAAATTTATTTGGATAAATAAATCAATATATCACGAAAAATAGTATTACTGGCTGATTGCATAAGTATAAGATTTGATATTGTACGGTTTTTCGATATCAAAGTCTGAGAGTACGATCTGTAGATGGAGGTATTAGTAATGCTGTTATTTAGATAAATGCCTTCTAGCATAAGAAAGAAATATTCTCATATTTCATTCTTGGGCCATTTTAGAGAGTAATTTTTGATTGCTAGGTAGCAAGCATTGCTGCGAGTTAGTTTAATAGTTTGTTTAAGCTGCTTAATCTTGCTTCAGATCAATAGTGTAATTAGCTACTCTAGTGTCTTTTGGTTTGGCATTCTTGAGTTTACTTTATTTCTGTAATAGCCAAGTCTGTATAAAGTAACAGTAATAATAGTTATTAATACGGTGTTGTAACTTATTAGTAGAGCTTTCGAGATTATATTACCAGTTTGCTGAGTGTTTGTATTTACTATAGGGCTTGAAAACTTTCCCTGACTGAATGTAGCTTCTCTAGAGCAAGATTTGTTGGACGGTCCAGCAACAGGCTATTTCAAAATAATAGTAAAAGATTCCATTAAGCGATATTCACAGTTCTATTTTCCGTACTGTTATGCTAAATTGAAAATTTCCTACCCTTGCTTCTTGTTCTCTATTTGCTGCTAATTGAGAAGCAATACTTCCTCTTGTTCTTTTTGTTCGTAAAATCCTTGAGAAATAGCGAACAACCTATGTAACATTAATACCAATTCAATTAGATGTTGATACGAAGTTCTTAAATTAATGTCTATCTAGCTTATACTTACATCTTTGTTATTCAAGCAGTGGAATTTAAAAATAAAGACACCCTGAATGTTTATAAGTCAATCAATTTTAATATTATTTCTGTCTTCGCGATTGATTTACTAGTCTACTCTCAAATCATTCAGAAAATTATCGATACCTGTAAGGAATTGGTGATAACAAAGATATATGAAAAAATTAGACTTCGATCACCCATAGCTAATAAGCCAAAAAGCCAAGATAAACCGAAGATTGGCATTAAAACAAGAACAGCTCTGGCAGATGTTCTAAGCAAAGGAAAAGAATTTATTAATTAATTCGTTTTATTTGTTTATTTTTGAAGCTACTTAGGCATCGATTTAAACAAGTTTTACGATAATCAGTTGATGGTATTAGTAATAAAATTAACTGATAACGTTCATCATTAGTCTTACTTGATTTTATAAGTATCTGATCTAGATGAGACAGCGCGGATCGATATAAGGGTCTTAATCACCATAATCATCAGAATAATATTGATCTTGTCATATAGAAGTAATTTATTAAAGTTATGTTTGCATCTTTTTACAGCAGACTAGATTATTTAAATCTAATTCTTATTCGATAAGTACGGTTAGAAAATTAAAATTGTGTAC